TTACATAATTATAATAATTATTATACCATTAATGCTATTATGGTTATTAATAGTTATTATGTTGCCACAGCCCTTTTTTAAAAGGTAACTTTTTTTACCTGTAGGTCATCGAACGTTGTTCATTGGTGTTCACGTGCCACTGGGTGGAAGAAAAAGTCACCGACGCCATAGGCACCGTGGACATAAACACAGAAAGAGAGACAGAGAGCGAGATTCAGGATTAGAAGATGGGAGAGAGTCTCCTCCTTTTGGTAAGATAAATTTTATTTTTGCATAGATCTTTTAATAATAAACATCAGTATGATTATGCATGCTCTGTCCTGTAATGGCTTGGACACGATTAGCAGGGTTTTGGAGAACCCACCAGAGCCTCTCCAGTCTCTGCTGGAGAGCCAAGGTTTGTTTCTCTGATGAAGGGCAGCAGCCAGTGGCAGTCAATACATGAGAAATCTCAGTAATTTCTACCACTGTAGGAAGCTTTCCATGGGTGTTCTCATAAAGGTAGACTGCCACCACCACTGAGAGGCAGTAAATGCTTTCTGACATCAGCTGCCCTCAGTGAAGGCTCTGGAGTACTTGCCCCTAAAATGTAACATAGAGGAGTTGTGGTCCTTTACAATTAGTTTTGTAATAATGTTGATGTTACTGAAGCTGCAGTGTTTTATCAGATGTGAACTGCGATCCAGATTGTGTTTGCCTTTTTCCTTACGTGGCACTCTAATGTGCCATTGTAAGATGAGTCTGATAACTGAGGACTTGAGAGCAAACAGGAAAAAATACCTTTCAATAAATGAACCTGATACAAAACTCCTAAAATTCTCAAAATTTTAAGTTAAAAAACATTACAGAGAACAGAAAAAGGTAGTCATGAATAAATTAGTCAAGCTTTGTTTTCAAAACACATGAGAATATTATTTGCTGTTCAAAAATAAAAAGCGCATGTGCTGAAATATCCAAGGCTATAGTAAGTGTTGAAAATATAATGGAAGCATGTACAGAAAACAGTTTGTCAGTGTGCAACAGAAGAATGTTTTAAAATCATTAGGGAAATGTGCCAATGTAATTTCAGGTTACAGAATAGTAATTACGAGACTTTCTTTTAATCTGAAGTTTGTATTATGTGTGTAGAAAGCTTTGGAGCAAGTAGATTATAAGTGCTGATAAGTATATTGTAAAGAACTTGAAATACTCAAATCTTTCACAATGAATTATATTGAGAATGAAACGAAGTCAAGACTTTTTAAAACTTAGTAGATATGAGTTATGTTTTGAAGACTGAACAGTGAAGAAAAAATTCGCTGTGGTGGTTCTGTCTGGAATGTATTTCAAATGTGCGAAGACCCAATACTATATTGAAACTGGTTTCTTGGAAAACAACAAAGTTCATAAATTATTAAAATATTTTTAAAAAAGAATATGCATATATACATATAATGTCAGATTAAAAAGAAACAATTGAAAGTTACATTAGCCAAGAAGTGAGATATCTTAAACTACGAAGCAGTGTCTTCTGTTGAGTCATCTGGTTTTATTTAAGTGCCAGCTATGTGACACATTTTGGCTGAGAACTTAGCTCTGTTCTTTCAACTTCTGGAGGCCTAGGCTTGTGTCCTTCCTAATGTCAAAAGTTTAAAAAAAAAAAAAAAAAAAAAAATTAACTGGCTGAATCTGTCCTTAATAGTCTTTGACAGTTGTGCACACAATAAAATGCACTGTTCAACACAATTCTGTGTTAAGTGAAAATCAGCCTATGTTCAAGAGAGCTCTGAGAATGGAATAGCAGTAATATGAAAAAGATAGTTTTGTGCATTTTTAAGTTGGCGTTCACAGCACTTGTCTACAGCTGTACTTGTTTGACATGAGTGCAGGACTGCACTTTTGTAAGTCACATTTTCACTTGTAAACTTAAACATTTTCACTTACAACTACCAATTAAAGGGTGTGTAGGTCATGTCACAGAAATTATTACTTTTATAAAGCCCAGGACAGACAAGATATAGGCCAGAAACACGCAAGTCTTCTCTGCGTCCAGAATGCTGAAGGTTCTCTTCAAAATGCTTGGGTGATAATGATTCAAAAGGAGCCAAAGACAGAACTACCAGACATTCAGAAAAATCTGAAAATATCCAATTTTTCCGCCCTGAAATAATATCTAAGTAGTAAAATTTGAGGATTTTTCCCCTTTGCTATCTGACTGCTGGAAGTTTGGCCAGAGAACCAGACTTCGACTGAGCTTTGACATCTGTCCATCCAGGCAGAAATGTGGCATCCCATAGACAACAGTGAAAGGGATTTGCCTTATGAAGGCAAATCTGAAAATTATACAGTGATGGAGGGGGTAAGCACAGTCAGAGCAGGCAGACAAAATTATGCAGGGATTAATCGTAGTCTATATCCACATCCTCGCTTTTACTATGGATTTTCCTTACAGGAATTTCAGGCACATTGTTGTGCTGCCTGGGGAGAAGCATTGCCTTTAGAGAGAATATAAGCATAGTTTTTCTATGTTTTATTTACACAGAGGGAGCAACAGATACTTCCTGCACTAAATCTGAATCCAGTAAACCTCAATAACGCTTCTTCGCTCTCATTCGCCGTGACCACAAGGTTCTAACAGTACCCAGAGGCTGAAGGAAGTTGCAAGGAAGACAAATGTACTTCCTACTTTTAATGCATAACTTAATACGAGGGACTGCGCTACCTAAGAGAGCAGATCCAAAATAGTCCCTTAATTTATGAATCATTCTGATCTAATTGAACATGCAGAAATGCTTAGCTCTCTCTCATTGTACACCCCTTTTAATGCATTTCTGCTGAATAGTAGGAGGCTGTATTGTTGGGAACTGGGGGAGAGGGGGGAAAGGAAAAAACATTTCAACGAGCAGGTGCAAGAAGAAAGATAGAGAAAATAAGCACTTTGAGACCAGCTGATAGAAAACAGTGCTTTGAAGTAAGTTGGAAAAATACATTAGGATTTTTGTGATACAAGAGAATAAATCAGCAGTGTTTTGAAGCAGTGAAGTATGAAAGGAGGTATAATAAAAGCCAAAGATGCAACAACTGAATAATAGAGATGCTGGAACAAGTAAAGGCCTGAAATATTCAGACAAGAAGTGCTCCAGACTGCTCAGTTAATCAAGCATGGGATGAAGCATTATTTTTTGTCATAATTTATAACTGTATAATTTATAACTTCATCTGTGAAGTACCATTAGGTGCAGATCTTGCTCTGCTATCACTGCTTCAGGGAGCTGTGCAGTGCACACAGTGCTGTGGGGCTGTGCAGGCCCCACTCAGAGTGGACAAGTGCCACCTGGTTCCTATCCAGTGAAAAACAGTTTCTGGAACAGTTTTCTTTGTGTCAACATGGCTAGAAAACACCTGTATTCAATGTAATGCTCGTGACTGGAAGCTTCCTGGTAATTCCTTTGAATCCTGGCTGGGAAAGCTGTACCAGCTACTTTCTGAGGGAATGTTTCTGCAGAGAATAGTTTTTTTAGAATATTCTGACGGCAGCTCATAAGCTTTTTTTTTTATCTCCTACTGTCACTTTTCAAAAATAACCCAAGTGTTCTCAGTGTGCAGATTCAGAGCTTGCAGACAAATAATATATGGAATATGTAGTTAAGTAGAATAAAAAGGAGTAGAGTCCTGGCATTTTGGGGCACAGATCAGTTACTCAAGTTTTCTTTTTGTTTTCCCCACACCTGGTTCTCGCTGTCTGTCTGTTGTCTCTTGATGAGATGAGGTTGTACAAGATGTTTCCATTTTGCCATAATGATGTGCCTTTGAATTTCATAATTTGCAGATTACATGGCTTGCTCAGGAGAGGCTTTTTTGGGTAGTAAAAATTGTAAGCTAAGTGATTTCAAGATCTAGATTTCCACCATCTTGCCTCATAATTTTTTGGAAGAAAAGGAGAAATCCAGTGAAATTATCCACTCTAGTTAAAAATGCAGCAATGGTATTTGCTTTATTGAAGAGGTTTACCATTCCCAGCTGAAATGCTGCTGTTGTAATTAAGGACCCAGTTTCATGCCCGCTTTAAGCTCCCTTTCTCCATAGCTTTCCTTGTGGGGCAAGTATCATGGCTGTTCTGTGAATTAAATTAGGGAATTGATGCAAATTAAAACTAGTTTGGCAAAAAAAGCTGTTTCAAGCCTAGAGCAGCTCCTTGGTTTTGCTGGGAGGGCGACGGGTGCCAGCCCCAGTGGGCCACAAGCTAGCCGGGACTGCTCCGTCAGTGCTGCTGGTCATGGTGGCACTGAAGTCTGGTGCAGATTTCTTTTTGGCTGGTAGGATTGCACTTGCTTGGTATGCCCGTGGATTTTAGTGGTAATTTTCAGTGTTTTTTGATGTCTGTTTTTTGCCTGTAAGCAGTGAAACAGCTCTCTTGTACTCGCACTTATGAGTTAAAGATATTTATATTTCTGGAATAGAAAGACTTTAGCTCTCAGCAGGGTGTCTTTAAGGACAGGTTTTGAGAGGGTGAAGTGAACACAACTGTGAGGACTGGGGTTTGATTTCAGCCTCCTCTGGTGTCTTCTAGGACTAGACACTGGTGGGGTTTGTGCAAGGTTTGGTTTGTTCTAAATCTGGCTTTAACAATCTCTAGTTTTAAAGAGGCTTAAATTTGTAATTCATGATATTGGATGTGGCAAGGGAAGCTGAGCAGCCCTGGAGGTGAGCCTAACAGAAGGATGTACGCACAGTTCAGGAAAGGCTATCTGAAGGTAATGCAGGCGAAAAAGTGAATTGCATAGGGGGACTTCTGTTGGTTGCTAGAGGGGCTTGAAGAAAGTATAATGAAAGGATTCAGCTGGCTATATTTGGTAGCTAACCTCAAACCTCAAAGAGGTATTAATGGGGCAAATTTAATTATTTGTAAAGAGTATACGGCTGTTAAGAGAATTCTCCTACCCTTAACTTTGTCTGCTTTGTCTGCTGACGGATGAACTTAGAAATTTGAATCTCTGGGCAGCTGTGGAACAGATAGCAGCAAATCTGGGTTAAAATAATGTATCATAACTGCAGTTTTAAGAGTCTAGCAAAAAGAAGAGAATTGAAGCTTGGTAATTGTCCATATTGTCAGAGCCAAAAGATAAGATTATTTGTCATAGCCCTGAGGTGATGGAAACAATTCATGTGAAGAAAATGCTTCCTGAAAACAAGATTATACATATAGGGATAAAGTGCCAGAGGAGCAAGCAAGGGAATACTTTCTCCCAACCTAACACATGGTTTCTACGGTCTGTGAAGAGATTTTCACAAGTGTGCTGCATGGCTGTTTACTATTTCATGTGTACTTTAGTAATGTAAATTTTGTTTTAATTTTTACCATGTTTTCTAATTTTAAAAAAAAAGTAATTTATGATCCCTGCCTTTACTGATTGCTGAGCTGAAGGGCAAAGTCTAATCTGCACAGGAAGGAGGTGGGGGGGAGAGCCCCATCCACCACTTCCTTGGTGATTGCAAGCAGAAGGATGAATGTTTGTCTGTGTGTGAAATGATCCTTTCTTTTCTGTGATCCTTTGAATTTTTCACACCATTTCAGCTTTGTTTGAAAGGAGTTGTTACAGATGTCAACTGTGTTACACCAGTTCACTCCCTGTCTGCAGCCCATCCTGTGCAGTGAGCAATCAAAAAAAAAGAGTTTATATATTTCATATTACTTTAATGTGAATGTACAAGAATATGAGGCATGGATTAAATCTTGTCTATGATGTTTACTGTCTTATGTGAACTTCTGTAATGTAAATTTTATTTTAGTGTCTAGCATGTTTTCTAATGTAGAAAAAGTAATTTTTCACCCTTGCATCTACTGACCCCAATAATAAGTATTAACCTACCAATACTACCCTTAAATGCAGGTTCTTAACAGGGTTAGAAATATAGAAACCTGTTCTGACAGTTGAGCTAATGGAGTGTTACCAGAAATAAATTTTTGCACCCTTTCTAGTGTTTATCAAGAGCAGAGGACAAAATTTGGAATACATTTTATACGTACCCAAGGCTGTGTTTCTGCTTGTGCAGATTGCGTGCAGTTCTGCCTAATGGCAGGGCAGTTTGTCTCAGGAGAAATCCTGGCACGCGCTGAGGGGAAGATGTGTTTCACTCTGAATGGTGCAGTGGAGCAGGTTGTTTGCTGGGCTGAATTTACGTGGAGGGACTGAGAATGATCCTGCTTTCTTACCCCAGCCCAAGTCTTGATTTCACCTTGTTCCCTTAGGCAAGAGGGAGCAGTCCTGACCCAGAATTGTGGTTGCATTTGGGGATGTTTTAAATGGGGAAGTGCCAGTTATGGTGCTTTCCTACACGTGTTTTGCAAGGCGGGATGGTGGTGTAGGTCACCGTTCCCCCCACCTGCACCCAGCGCCGTTCCAGGGAGCAGCTTTTTGTGTTGCCCTCTGGGAATTAGGTTATTAGCAGTTCTGGCTTTCAGTTCTGCTGTTTTGGCATTCTATGCCCATATCTTGCTTTTGTTTTAGGGATGTTAATGACTTTACAAAGAGTCCTAGTAGTGAGCAGTATGTCAGGTTGCTGCAGGGTCACTTCCTTTGTGCAGCACTGAATCCCAGTGTGAATTTGTGCTTTTGACAATAGCACCAGGTCTTAATTTTTACCCTTTTAACAGTGCAGTGGAGTTATACAGATTTTTAAACCCGGAATACTCAGGTTTTCCATGCTTGCAATGAATTTGAGGTATCAGAGGTAGTTTGGATGTCTGTGCTGCACGGATGATGTGAGCGCAAGCCCGGCGAAACGCATGTATAACAACAGAGTCTGGCAGGAGGCTCTCATGGTGGAGCCACAGCAAACAGAAAGCTGCTTCAACTTTTCCTGACTGACATGGATCATTAGCCGAGCACAGGTGGTTGTTGATGGTACTCCTGCTCCTGTCGTGTAGCAGACTTTCTGCCCAGTCCCAGCTGGTCCTGGAGGATTTCCTGAACTGGTGATGAGCCATTTGCTTGGGAGAATCATTAGCTGCTTATTGTGGAACTTTAAATTCACATTGCTTCTAATATCTCTGTGCTCTGATACAAAACAACTGCAGTGATAGAAATACTAATGTAACAAATTAGTCCCATCAATTTAATTTTTTTTAGCTTATTCTAGATTACTTTCATTACTTTTTAGGAATAGCAATAATAATATAAAGCTTTTTTTTTATGCTGTACTACTTGAAGTAGGGATAGACACAGATAATATTCAAGCCAATTTCTGTTTTCCTAGACTTCAAAAAAATTTGAGTGTCCTCGTTTGCAAATATTGTGCTTCTACACTGAGGATTAACTTATCACAGTTTGACAGTCAGCAACTGAAGTATTCTTTCATACTGTTTTTGAATCGCATATTACTAGTTTTCCGTATAACACATTAATGACATATTTGGTATTTATTACTCCTATGAATAAGAGCCAAATCCATCTGGCATTGCTCACATGAGTTATGCTGTTAGCTCAGTTTTATAAGTAGAACCAACAGATCTGATTTTTT